AGAGGAGAGGAGAGGAGAGGAGAGGAGAGGAGAGGAGAGGAGAGGAGATATATGATACATATGATATATGGGGAGCACTCAGGAAGTGGTAGTTGATTGGGCCCCACAAGACACCTTTGTGTTACTCATTAAATAGACTGACCAAACAGGTTTAGAGACTTCATCTTCCCAAAGTCACTGAGGGGTAAAAGTAGGGCAGCTTCCAGGTCTAAATGAATTATGCCTGGTGCTTTAAGATGGCGACTGGAGTGAGAAAAGCCTAGGATCAACCCTAACTGCCAAGTAATCACTGTGTGACCAGAAGCTAATGACATCACCTCCCCCAGTTTCCTCATCTGGGAAATGGTTGAGGCACTTCTCAGTCCCAACCCCCCCAGCACCTCCTAACTCAAAATAGTGAATGAGGCTTCGTTATTTATAGTCTGCTTTGAAAACCTCCATGCCATGAGATGTAATTCAGTGGAAGTATTATCACCGGTTCCCCTGAAACTCTGGTGTTCCTTTTCTGGGTTTTGCTCTCCATAATTTCAGTTATGTATAGTAAACTATGGCCTGATAACATTGAATAGAAAATTCCAGAAACAATTTCATAGTTCAAATCTCGTGTGATTTTTGAGTAATATGAGCAAGCAGTGCACCATCCACTCCATCACACCCAGAACGCTAACCATTCCTTTGTCCCATATACCCACACTGTGTCCACTACCCAACCCTAAGTCACTTTACAGCCATTTCAGTGATCAGATTAACAGTGGAAACATGCAGAGCTGTGTTCAAGGAACACTTATTTTACTTAATAATGACATCAAAACACAAAACAGTGATGCAAAGGAGGCCCCGAGGCATAGAACATGGAAGGACAGGCTAACTGTAAGCCTATGTAGAGACACCGCCCCATGCACAGTGAAGACATGATCTACAGGGGATTTGCTAGGGTTTGGGAGCACTGGGTGGTAGAGCAGCTGTCGAGCACACACAGGCTACATGTTCCAATTCCAGCAAACACAAATTAAAACTACTGTGGTCTCAGGCATCTCCTGCAATGCTTGGAAGAGATTCCTTAAGGATAAGGATAAGGGGCGGGAGGGGGTCATGCTGTATACTTCTCTACACAACCTTATTAGACAATAAAAATTTTATCCCCAAAGCGGAAAATGAAAGAAAATCAACAACTAGTTATCGCTGTCAGTACTTGCCTTCTCTTCATAGTCCTGGCAATGTACCACAGAGATTTGATGTTGGTGTTAGTTTGCTCCCTCTACTAGGTTGGTTCCAGAGGTGGGTCTTGCTTTTCTTCACCCTCTGCATCATTAGTTCCTGGAACAGAGCCTAACCATACCTTTCTACAATTGCTCACTGGCTCTTCTCATAGTCAGTAGGAAAGCTTTCCATATCTTTTGCAAAACTTCATGGGCTAGGATCTTTCCCACTGTTCCTTACACGTGACATAAACGTTAGAAGTCAGTGCTGGAACAAAGTTTTGGTTTTCCTGGCCTCATGTTTTTCACTTGCTGGATTGCCTTTATTGCCAGGAAGCTTAAAGCACAAGTCTATGCTCAAATACAGATTTCCTGAGAACATTTTTTTTTCTGATGTAGGATATAAATAAATGTAAGAAGATTCTGATGGTCCACGTTTAAGATCCTATTTTTAACCACAGACTGCATTATCCTAAGAAGATGCTTCTTAGGCTTGGCTGTGCCTGCAAATTACCCTGGATCTGGTTATAACGCTAAATAAAACACTGAATATGACTCAGTAGGTCACAGGCAGGGCGTGAGATACTGCATCTCTAACAAGATCCCAGGTGATGCCTCAGTGGCTGGGCTTTGGACCACACTTTGAGTTGCACAGGGTGGAAGAAACTTGTTCTCTAGATCCAGCACAATTTCTGTGCCCTCCTCCTTCGCAAAATCTGACCAAAAGCTCGAAAAGTGGAGGGACAGATACCAAAAGTACGTAGGGAACTAGTAAGACCTACAAGTTGTCCCCTCTTTTACTTCACTTCACCCTAACCCCGACTGGGTCCCGACGAAAGGGGAGAGGCAGCCGCCAAGAAAGCTCGGTAGATGCTTGTGGTGGCTGGTGGCCTCAGCCAGTTTTCAAAATGACTGCTTTTCCAGAGGTTTTCCCCAAGGTAAATTCCTAAGGACAGGTGCTGTCGCCTGCTTGGTTAGGATTTCAACTGGGACCCATCTGAGTCTTTCAATCACAGCACCGTCTCTCCTCTTTGACTATAAGGGTGGTGATGGGTTCACTTCCCAAAGGCTGAGACCCCCGCCCGTCTGCCCAGAGCCACCGGGTCCCCGGACGCCGCCGCCACAGGCCTGCCGGGCAGAAGCAGAAACGCTCATGCGCAGAGGGACCCCCAGCCCACAGGGCGGGGTCCCTGGGTGCCCCCACCCCCGCCACCTTACCTCTCTGGACCAGGGTGGCCAAGGAGAAAGCGAGGCCGACGAGGAAGGCCGAGCGCCAGGCCACCATGGCTGGGAGCAGGCGCTGGGGCCCGGGAGGACCACAGTTAGCGCAGGAGGGCCCGAGGGGGAGGGGAGGAGCTCGGGAGGAGGAGTCTGTCACCTCCGCAGGGCCCCACCCAGAACTGGCTTCTGCAGCCCGCGGCCGGGCAGGGCGGGGGCTGGGCGCGCCCAAGTGCCTGCACTGGGGAGCGCCTCCGCCCCGGCCAGGGCAAGGGACCGGGCTTCACTGTAGTGTCTGGGACGCGGGCGCAGTCTGGGGGCGGGATCCGGGGAGGGGCCGGGGGCGGGGCCCGCAGACACCCAGTGGGCCGCAAGTCTGGATTGGGTGGCGTACCAGCTCGCGGCCTGCAGCCCCGATCCCACCCCCATCGTGGCCTTGGGAATGTCAGACCTGGCCTGCGGGCCGCGAGCTCTGCGTTGCCCGAGGCTGGGGAGCGGGATGTGGCCGGCGCTAGGGCGCTCTGTTATCTCGGTGAGAGCTACCCCGGCGTGGAGCGGAAGGCTGCCGACTGCCAATGACCTTGGACCGCGCCTTCCTTCTCCAGACCAGCTCTCCAGGCTGCGAGGTCCCACCACTCCCCCGCTCACCTTGCCGCTAGCTCACCCAAAACACTGCCTCCAGACTAAAGAAAAGAGTTGTCCGGGTAGCTCAGGAAACCAGGAGGGTGCCACGGGCGCCGGGCCTGTAGGCAGGAAGGGTGGACTCACTCCAGAGCCCAAGCTCTGGGGACTAACTCTGGAGACTTGAGGTAGGGACAGAGTTAGCTGAGGGAAAGTTCACATCTGCACAACTGATCAGCAAAACGTGTCCTGTAAGCTACAAACGCGCTGCGGTCTTTTCCCATGAACCTCTGCAAGCGAAGTCCACCTCCCAGGCCACCAGAAAGCAGATGCCCACACTGCTGTGAACAGCCAAAAGCCCACTTCAGCTGGGAACCAAATACTCTCAAGAACAGCGCGGCTGCAGCCAGCTCCAAGACAAAGAAAGCATCACTGCTCTCCAAAGTGGCAGCATGGAGCCTTCTGAGCCATCATCATGCGTGCCATCATGCTGCACCGCTGTCCTGGGTCACATCAAAAGTCAGATCTTACTCCTCCTCCTAGTGTCCCCCAGCAGAGACTACACACACACACACACACACACACACACACACACACACACCACACTTCAGTTGTTCCTGTGTCCCTTGACCATCCTTGCCTAAAATCCTGGGGCAACAACAAACACATAGTGCCTTAGGGAATGCACATTTGGATGTGCAGGGCTTGGTCTGTTACTGGAGCTGAAGACTGATCAGAAACAGCTGGTAGTTAATAAGCTCACATTATCCACCTGGCACATTCTGGCATTTTTTACCTGTGACACCTCAATAATCAGGAAAGGGAAATAAGCAAGTGGAGGTGCCTTGTGTTTCAGGGAGCAGCCAGGACCCATGCCATGGTGTCAGTGCGCCACGGGAAGCCCACTGCTGAGTGGTTAAGAAGAAGGGCTCCAGAACACCATGGAACAGACCTGGCTGGACCCAAAAGGCTGTGCCCAGGGGGCAGTGAGGTGGTGGAAAATAGTGGGCTGGAATGTACTGAGACCTTGGTGAACTGGCTCAGTCTCTCCTGCATGTTCTCTGGCTCTTTTTGAGCTCACAGAGTGGAGATGAGCACTTGCAACCAAAACCATGGACTACACATTGCCTAGAATATTTGCTATTTAGCCCTTAGCAGAAAATATTTGCTGACTCTGTCCTAACACATTGAAGGCTAAATATTGACAGGTGATGAGGCACATGCTAAAATATATGCTCCTCGAGAACACAGGATGAACACCATACATGACCTGCTCTGATGCGGCAGCAAGAACCAAGAGAAAAGGATAGAGGTGTCAAATGACACCAGCTAAAACAAACAAAAACCTTGTTAATCAAATGCCTGAGCCAGCCTACTAGATAAATCTGCCTTTGTCAGGTGACTTATCTTGTAGAACCCTGAGACCCTCTTCATTCACCTGCTACCCCCCAATCCCTCCAGACCCCCACTAATTGCTCTTTTAGCTTCTGTAAAATGCTTGGCTGCTGCTTTAGACATGCCTAGACATACCCTGGCATGCCCTGACCCCCGCCTGCTATCGCCCCCCCCCCAGGAAACTATAGATTAAGCAAGCCCGAGCATAAAAACTGCCCTATAAGGTAAAAAAAGAGACTCCTGGCCCCACAGGTAACAGCACATTCCACAGCCCTGAGAATAGCACCTACCAATAAGAAACTTCCAGGGCTGCATCTTATACATCCAATCGGTTTAAAATTA